CTGATAGAGAAATATGAGGCGGCAAACTCATATAAACCGTGCACATTTAAGATTCAAGGTTTATATAATGTCACTAAGAGAAAATTATGAATGGTGGGTACAAGTTTGCAGACGGCAAATCAAATTTTAAAGGGTGCGGTTTGTATAGAGCTTAGGCTCTAAACAATCAAATTAGAGCCTACCTTCAAATAGTGTAGAGAAATGCTATTTCAATACTGAAAATTTTTGTGATAGCCTTGATATGTATTTTCATCTTTAGTTATAAAGTTTAAAGCTTCAAAATTAGTGTAGATTGACAGATCTATGAAAACTTGAAAATCTTGAAAATGACAGTCCAAAAAAGCATTTCCAAATACATTATTTTCAAAACTTGCAATCGATTTTTTTCTCATGCCCATTCATCTTGATGGTGAGATGATCAATTTAAAGATATTTGGGCATCAAAACAACCTTTTCTAGTAAATTTTTTGAGGTAGGCTCCAATTTGATTGTTTAGAGCCTCGGCTCTATATAAACTTTTTCCATTTTTAAAAAGCCCGCACAAATTATAGAAGAAGATAAGCATCCGTTAGTTATAAAAACCCTTAACAAGCTTAAAAAAAATGGCATAGTAAATAGGTTTGTCCCAAATCAAAGAAATGAAACACAAAACATTGCCATTTAATGTATTAATTAAGGGAAAAGTTTATATCGAGCTATGAGGCTCTAAACAATCAAATTAGAGCCTACCTCGAAAATTTCACTAGAAGAGGTTGTTTTGACGCCCAAATATCCTCAAAATGGTCATCTCGACATCAAGATATATAGACATGAGAAAAAAATGAATTTCAAGTTTTGGAAATAGTGTATTTTGTAACATATTTTTGTACAGTCAATTTTCAAGATTTGTTCAAGTTTTTATTGATCTGTTGATCTACACTATTTTTGAAGCTTTAAACTGTATAAATAAAAATGAAAATACGTTTATTTTAAGGCTATCAGAAAGATTTCCAGTATTGAAACCACATTTCTCGATTTTCAGTATTGAAACCACAATTCTCGATGCTATTTGAAGGTAGGCTCTAATTTAATTGTTTAGAGGCTTGGCTCTATACAAGCCGCACCGATTAATTAATGGATAATGTCCATTGTGGTTAATATGGTTAAATTGTTAAAAGACAAAACTCTAGCATGGTATTATACAAATTAAACAATGGGATCCCATGGTTTGAAAGAGAAAAAAATAGAAATTTAAAAGTATACAATGAGATCATTTACTTTTGGTACAAGGTGTTTACAATTAATCTTAATCATTAGACGTGAAATTGATCAGCTACATTTATTCTATTGATCAAACTCAATGTTCAAAAGAATTTTTCTCGAATTTTATGACAAATCTAAACCATCAAATTCCACATTAGAGGGTTATAACATTAGAGTGTTATAACATTAGAGGGTTATAAATAATTGTAATCACTTATACCAAAGATAAATGACCTCATTATATACAAACCCCAGTAAATTACATTTGCAACCATCGCAGTCTGTCCAAGTCTTCAATTAACTGATTTAAAATGTTAACGTTGGTCAAACATGACGAAACAGGAAATCAGAACGGAGTAGCTCAACATAACCGTCGTTTTCCACTTTAAGATAAAGATTCCCTAATAAAACTAAAACAAGGGAGAAATTTATATAACATACTTATATCTCTCGGCATATATAAAAATGTTCCTAGTATTTTAGGTTTTACATTTCATGTCCTACTTTTGAGGAGCATGCTTATTATTTTAATTTTATATTTTATTATGTATATCACAATGAGTTCAAATTTGTGGGAAAATTAACAGAAAGAAAAATATTTTCTTTTATAAATCAATTGATTTGAGATCAAAATGGCACCAAAATTTTATTTTTTTGGCCGTTATTTGGGTATGCTTCAAAGTCTCACGAGAAATCCTCCAATCTAAAGATTTTGGCCTATTTTTTTAGTTTTTTGCCATCAAAATAGAGGGATTTTGTTGATAACAGAGATATCAACACTACTACACTCCTTATTTGATCGAAATCTGGAGATTTCGGGCTCGATTTTGAGATTAGGGCTTCATTTGAATTAGAAAAAAATAATATAAATTTTATCCTGAATTTTTTTCCTACTTTTTTTGCCTCTTTTAGGATTTTTCAGACAATATTTAACTGAAATTATTGATTGCATTCAATAAAAGAACAGATTTGAGAGCAAAAACTCAATGAAAATCGATTTTACTTGTTCCTTTTTTTTGTGCTCTTCAATGTTTCGGGAAAAATCCGCCAAACTACAGATTGTGACATTGTTTTTTATTTATTTTTAATCAAAGTTGGGGGCTTTTGTAGATGACAGAGATGTTCAAGCTATTGTCCTCCTGATTTCATCGAAAATCAGACATTTGGGGTTCGATTTTAGGGGCGTTTTGAGATATCGATTTTAGGGGTTTTTGAGAAATCGATTTTTCTAAAAAAAAATATTTTGCATATAAAATTGTGTTTTACTATGAAAATAAGAAGTGTTTTTCTATTTTGTTTAATAAAATTATGTTTTTTTGATAAAATTACATGTTTTGATAAAAATATATTTTTGGATGAATATGACAAAAAAATAGATTATTCTATTTTTAATGTTATATTTTTTAACAAAAAAAAAGTGCACGATAATGTTGCTCGGTTTTTTTTTCTCGATCTTTTTAATGTTATATTTCTTTTGCTCGATATTTTTATTTGCTCAATTTTTTGCATGATAATGTTTTTTTATTTTGTTTAAGTGCAAGACATAACAAAAAATATGCATTTTGACTAAGGGATGGTAAATGAACTAAGAGTATGTTATGCTCCTCATCTCTAAAATGTTAATATTATGAAGGTTGCAGTCACATAAAAATCCTTTTGTATATCTATTTGAAACCTCTTTCTCTCTATAATTGTATACCTATACTCTCATATTTGAATGATATCATATCTAGAAGTATTGTACTTATACTTTTCAGTAAGAAGCATAGGATTTTTTTCAATTTGAAAGTAAAAAGTTAAAGCTTTTTCGCGTTACTCATATTTTTCGTCGAGTGGACTCCGATAGTGAGACACAACATTACCCTGATCCCGCTCGCCACTCTCATTAGTACTAGTCATTGTTATTTGGACTTTGTAACTCTATCAATTGAATTAATGTCCAATTATAAATTGTTTTGTATATCTCCATAATATTCATATATTAATTTATATAAAAAGTTTTGAAATTTTTGGGTAAGATAATTATATGTAATAAGATATTATACACTTAATCTAAGTTTTTTTTTTTTTTTTTTGGAGGAGGCAGTTTTTGACCCATTTTTTTTAAAAAAAAATGTACTTGACCGGTTAGTCAGGTTAACCGCCCCGGTTAGTCCGATTCATATTCAAAACCGCTCCTAACCCCATGTTTGGTTAACCATTCCGGTTCGATTTTACGAATATTACCTCATATAAATGATGTCATACCCCTTCTAATGACCAAAAAAATTCTTATTCAAAAAACTCCAAGAAATAGGAAAGCTTCGTACAAATATGGTAACAGGGATTCACATACTTAACATTATCTTCTAGGGCGAGAGTGAGAAGAAAAAGGGACACTAAAAAAATTCTATCGCACGGTTTGCTTTTATTTATTTTCACTAGTTAGTTGTCATATGCTTCATCTTGCACAAAAACAACAAAAAACTAACATTTTGTTTCTTCTTGGGCAGAGTGATAACAATGAAATTAGAAAAGAAGCATTAGTCGACTGGGAAATTTGTGCTAAGCTTACCAAATTGGCTTTCAAGTTGCACATCAATTTGAATAGGACCGCCACTTACTTTCATGGAGGTATGTGCTGACTTGACTGTTGAGTTGCTCAGTCGCCTTTCTTTAGTGGAAAATATGGGACCTAGTATTCAGTTCATGCTCCCCTTATCAAATAAGGATCTCATCTAACTAATAAAGTATGAGGAATCATACAAGTTGAGCCTATTTAATAACATTGCCTATGGGGCCTAAAATTAGCCAGATCCAGCTCTCTAGACATGATTTAAAAAAATAAATTATATATTATATGCAAATTCTATCGCATAAAATTTGTATATGTGGACAACCACTATTTACCCTTTTTTTAATAAAAAATTTTAAATTGAGTATGACACGGGGATTTGAACCCGTGATGTGGAAGAGTAGAGACATGCGTGATAATCGAAAAGCCAATTCATCCTCAAGTTTTGTCTATTATTTACTCTATCGCGTAAAATTCAATCTAAGAATATTTTTAAGACCTCGGTGAGAGCTTCACCCTCCAACACTCTTTGTATGCTTGCAAAATAACTCCCTTGACATCTCCATAGTAGTGAGCACTCTTCGTACGTTTCTAAAAAATAGTGTCGTAGAACCGAAGAGAATCAACAAAATATTTGGATAGTGAGATATAAGTGCTCAAGAACTAAAATTCACATTTTTTTTCTATGAAAATACAATTGGGGAATCCAAACTGGATCTAAATATTTCATATCAAAATTAACTTACTAAGTAGCGCTTTGCCTGAGGAAGTAAGTTTGCATTGCACTGTGCTCCTGCGGGAGCACATATGCTCAAGTATTGAAGGCTGATTGCCTAACGGATAAGGACAAAAGACGAGACTAAGCATGCCAATAAAAAGTTGAGCCTTTGTGGTCCTACACTAATCAGTTTAGATAGGAAATCGTAGATGAGAAGCTCATCACTTTACCTGTGCTTCCCACCATTAAAAATCATACTAAAATGTAAGACAAATGAACAGACCAGGGCATATCATAAACTCAAAAAATCTAATCACCCTTCATTCATTTCCTACGCATCCTTTCATTGTTTGTGGCTTATAGAGTGGAATGGAATTTAAATTTGGTGTCAATAAATGAACTTTTTTGCTTATTGGGTATTTCTGATATCGAAGCCCTTCTTCCAGTGTCTTAAAGAAATCAAACAAATGTAAAACACACTAAAAATTTAGCCAAGAATGAAGATATATTGATTTTCCTTATATCCAAACTATTTTTTCACTTTTTCTTTAGCAAAAGAGAGAATCATCAAAAAACTTACTTGGGGGAGTGAAGAGAAAAAAAAATGGAGATGAGATTAATTACACAGCAGATCCAGGATCAAGCTTATCAGCAGGGGAAGAGAGAAGAGAAGCTCGACAAAGTGGGCAACTAGACTGCGTCCTGAGCCACCGATCGACACACTCGGTGTGGAATGTGTGGTGGCACGTCGGCAAAATCTTCACCTTCTCATCCTCCACGAAAGCGCTCAGACAGATGGAGCACTGCAACGCGTCTGGAGGAGACACGGCCTGGCCTTTGTACAAAGAAACTGGAAGGCCGCTTATGGCCACGGGATTGAGTCCAGCGGCCGCTGGCCGATCCGATGGTTGTGGTATTGGTGGTGGTGGTGCTGCTGGAGGAGAAGCAGATGCCGAGTGTTGCCGGTTTACGGTATACTTATAGACCCAACGGGCGTAGAGGCAAATGAGGGTGAAGAGGAGGATCACAGAGAAGAGGACGATGACGAAGAGGAGGCTTCTTCCATGGACTTCGAAGTTGGAGTCGTCAAGGTCTGCGTAGTGCCAGTGCAAAGGCGTGGTGGTTTGAGAAGATGAGGAAGACGCCATGACTGTTGCACCACTATTGCCTTTTTATTTATTAGCTTTTTTTCCCCCTTTTCATAGGCAAGTGAGAGATGGGGAAGAAGGGATGAGGAGGTCATGGGTGGGCCATCGAGTTAGGTGTGCATTCGTTCCGTACTTTAGATAAGGTCTTGGGGATACTTTGGAGTTTTGACCACGTTACCATGTAGCTCATTTTATGTTGTTTTATAGTATTTCTTTTTTAATTTAGAAAAATTATAGATAATTCTCGGACTTGTATTTTTTAAGTTTTTTTTTTGCAATACTTTTGATATCACATTATTAACCTATCATTATTTTTCTTCACGACCACCATGAAATAAAAGTGTTAATTTTTTGGATCCAAATACCCACCGTTTAACCCATGTTTTTAAAACACGATGCCCAACATATACCGATCCAACACAAGAATGTGTCTGATCAGCTTGAACCAGTCCGAAACAAGTTGAATATAGAGCCAACCCAACACAAAAATTTGTTGGACTGGTTTTGTACAAGTTGTGATGATCCAGTACAAAAGTGTGTTGGACCGACACAAGTTGAATAAATAGTCGGTTCCATACAAAAATGTGCTTGACCGTCTCTGTACAACTTGTGTTGGTATGGCACTTAAAGAAAGAAAGTGGAAAACATGACCAAAAGAATGGTATTTTGGTCTAAAAAAAGTTAACTTATCTACTTAGGGATAGTTACATAAAAAAATAATTAATAATAATAAAGTTAAAAAGTTATTATTATGTATTGTGGTATAAAAAAAAAAAATTTTTTTTTTTTGAGGGGGGGGGGGGGTTACAAATTGGGGGTGTCTATAACTTTTCCTTTTATTTATATATTGTCTATCTAGCTTATTTTATGTTATTTTATAGTATTCCCTTTTCTTTCCTATTGGAAGCGGCTGAATAAGCTTTATTTATATAAGAACACATGTTTGGTTCTTAAAAATATCTCAAGATAATGGGAGGAATGTGGCGGATATCATATGACCTGACTCAATTAAAACTAAATCCAAAGTCCTATTGGAATTTTCCTCAATTGGAATTTTCCTCACGCATTAATTCCATAGACAATGACCTTCCCCAAATTGCCTTTCCCATTGAAATCAGTCCTTTCACTCCCTCTCCATTCCTATTTTGATTGAATCAAATCACCTTATGTGGGATGTTATTCCTATCATTCTGATGCATGTGAATGCATGCTAGGCCCAATGGGCCGTTTTTGGATTTCTCTCCCAACATGACAGTTTATGTCTTTTCTCTCCAATTTAGTGCTTGAAAAATCCAAATACGAACTTGAATTCCGAGATGAAGATTTGAATTCATCCGGTCTGAATCAGTCCATTCTTGATTCGGTCCACAATACAAAGTAGGAAGATTTTAGATTTCCCTATAATCAGATCACCACCCTCCCCTACCTCACTGGTTCGGTTCGACACGGCTGATTCGCCTTTTTTTTGTTTTTTTTTTCTTCTTTTTTTTCTATAACTGTGGCTTACTTTTTTTCTAATATAAAAATGAAAGAAAAGAATCTCCATGATGAAATATGGGGTCACTTCATTATAACATGTATTGATGAAGATGGACATATTCCTACTGATCTTCCAGCAAAGCATGCGAATTTCGATAATGTCCTTTTCAAAATGGGGGGCATCAAGGCCTTTGGAATTTGGATTTATCATCCATGAGGAAACAATGTACACATATCTTCCCATATTTAATATAGGGGCTGCCTTGTGATTCTGCAATAAACAATAATAGAAGGCCTAAAATGGCAAAAATCGGATAAACTTGGTTCACTTTACGGTGCTTCATTCAGAAACAAGTAAAAGCGTGCAAATTTTGTGTAAGAAAAATTAGGACCCAAATTTGGAACCTTTACCTTTTTCTTTTTTTGAATTTTCTTATGGAAAATGGTTTGATGGGGCTGCTGCCCGATCAAAATAAGTAAAGCCTTACCTCAAACCTCATGAAAAATTGCAGCTCTAGCATTATAAAATCTCCAAATCGATCATATTGGCCTTGACCACTATGGTTATGAAATAAAAAAAAAAGATTTCGAGCCTTAAAAATAGTTTATATTGTAAGTTTGTGATACATTATCTAGATCATCTATTTCGACCTAAAAATAAGTGTTCACAAATCAACAAGATCTGTTTTTTGAGCTTCAAATTTTATAGTCGAGATTGAAAATTGATTTTAGAACCACTATAGAGACTTCCAATACTCAAAGTGCTTTTCTTGACTTTGTTTCCATAAAAACTAGGTCTTATAAAAAGGAGAAAGTTTATACAGAGCCGATGCTCTAAACAATCAAATCAGAGCCCATATCAAAAATTTCTCTAAAAGAGGTTGTTTTGAGGTCCAAATATCCTCAAATTGATCATCTCAACATCAAGATGCATAGAAACGAGAAAAAAATGGATTTCAAGTTTTGAAAATAATGCATCTTGTAATATATTTTTTTACAGGTAATTTTCAAGATTTTTAAGTTTTTATAGATCTGTTCGATCTGCATTAGTTTTAAATTTTATATTTTATAATTAAAAATAAAAATATATTTTAAAACTATCACAAAGATTTTCAGTATTGAAACTACATTTCTCGACACTATTATTTGAAGGTGCGGTTTACTTTGATTGTTTAGAGCCCCGTCTCTGTACAAACCGCACCCGCATAAGAACGGCATCCTTTGCTTATTTTTCCACATTTTGACTTTGAATTTATCGTTGTTCTATGAAGCAGACTAGGGATGCAAATGCGAGCGTGCGGTGCCTGTTGCCGCTCTATGGCGGCGATTGCTACCATTAAATCACAAGGAGACCATGACTTCCTTAATTATTTCATCCAGACTCCAAGGTTCAAACTACTTCGAATTAAAAGCATGGCTTGGTCATGTTCGAATAATTGCTTATGGGTCAATTGTGGAAACCTATGCATCGGATCTCAAACTTGACTCAAAGATCTTATGGGATACGTTCCAAGAAAAAATCTTTATGGGTTTAGGGATGGCGTTAGCCCGCCCAGCCCGACGCCTGGATGACCCGGGCTTGGGCTCTAATTTTGGGCCTTGCCGCCTTATAGAGTTGTCAATAGGCTAGGTTCAGGCCAAGTCAACCCTTGCCTAAGCCAGACCTAAAACAATAAGTTTAGTTTTCAGCCCAACCTATGCAGAACCTGATTAATGATAATGAGGCTCGAGCCCATGAGGCCGGGCCTAAACCATACCATGAGTCTTAACATGCGGCCTGGTTCAAAAGTCTATAGGCTAGTCAAGGCCCATAAATGGCCCTAGCCCCTCATTTTAACATGCGGACCCCATTTGATTAAAAAGTTTATAGGCTAATCTAGCTTAAGGGAAAGTTATATATATAAACACTACGCAATGTTTATAGGAAAAAATGAACAGTGATTTTGCCTATCCCATCACTGTCCAAAGTTCATCCCGTGGTCACGATGATCTGATAGTGGTCACGATGGTATGAT